GGTTATTGATATATCTCCCAGCAATCTTGATTCCAGCTTGTGCTTCATCCAGCCCAGCATTTCTTATGATGTACTCTGCATTTAAGTTAAATAAGCAGTGACAATATATAGCCTTGACTTACTCCTTTTCTATTTGGAACCAGTCTGTTGTTCCAGGTCCAGTTCTAACTGTTGCTTCCTGACCTGCATACAGATTTCTCAGGAGGCAGGTCAGGTGGTCTGGTATTCCCATCTCTTTCAGAATTTTCCACAGTTTATTGTGATGCGCACAGTCAAAGGCTTTGGCACAGTCACTAAAGCAGAAATAGATGTTTCTCTGGAACGCTCTTGCTTTTTCGATGATCCAGCAGATGTTGGCAATTTGACAAACTTAGGACCCAGTAGCTACCTTAAATAACCAATCTCAATTTACAAAATCCTTTTTTCCTCACATTTCTTTTAACCAACGGTCATCTATCAAACATTCATGTTTTTCTGTAGTCAGTTTTTCATTGGAGAATTTCATCAGCTTTTTCAAAACGTCAGATCATGTGGATAAGTTGCTTAAAAACCTGCAATCTAAATGCTTTTCATTTCAGCATCGTGTGTGCTAAGTAGGTACCAGCTGTGGAATAGGCAGTTGGTTATATGATTCCAGCATGCATCTTTGGAAGATATCACCATCAAGACATATTTTTAAAGCCCTGATAATTAGAGTAGGTCATGGCCTATATTATGAGTTTGAACGGAAAACAGTTCTGAGCCTTGAACAGAGGAAAACCACAAGTGGCTTTGTCACAAGTGAAACTCAGACTGGATACCAGCCAGATGACAGGAGTGCAGTGTGAGTGTGGAGCCTGGGATCCAGTTGAGGACCTTGAAATCTGTGTGTCTTCTAGCTGGAGATCACAGAGTTTGAACAGAAATGAATAATGAACTTCTTTACATGGGTAAAGTGACAACGGAAGAGCAATGGCTGCATTGTGTGTGGATAAGAAATTCACAGAAGAAACCTGCATTTCCAGTGAATCTGATGGGGAAAGGCTGTCCCCTATTCTAGCGTACTGGTCTTAAAACTAAAGTCTCAACTCCACAGCTCTTCTCAACTCTACACTGTGATGCTGGGGCTCCAGTTCCTTCCAGTACATTTCTCCTTTGCCTGCAGATTGTTTTTCTTTCAGAGTTCTCCCAAACCAATTCCAAGAGGTGGACTAGAAGGCTGGAGTATGACTGATGACAACCGCCATCAATTAGGAAAAGGAAAACTAATGGTTGCTGCTAGATGCTCTGTGTCACCAGTCAGATTGGCAAAAACTAAAAAAAGATGATAAGATCCTGTTTTGGTCAATGTGTGAGAATATATAAGAGCTCATATGGTCTTGAATATGGATGAATGTAGCCATTGTTATCATGGACAGTTTGCAGTATGCATGTGTAAGGTTTATGTATTTTGACCAATAAAATTGACTTCATGGCCCCTTGTTCAGAGAAAGACATTCACTTGCTTATAAGACAACTGCATACACTTGTAGCAGTCTCTCCTCTAAAGGCATAATTTCTGAGAAGGACTGACTCTAGGAGGTGACACTGCCAGCATTTAGGGACTGAAGTTTTTAATGGAAAACAGCTAGAATCAAATACAGGGCAGCCCAGGGTTGGAGAGCAGAACCTCACACTTCATAGTCCTTGCTCTTTTATTCCTGCCTCTGCTTTGCTGCTGAAAGACTGAAACCCAACAAAGAGTTGAGAAGGTAATTTTAGAAATATGTTAAAAAGTAGTACAGGACTACTCATACTAAAGAACAAGAAACAATATTAATGAGTAATGTGTGTGATATCCTGCATTCATATGAGATCTTTATGATTTCCCTATTATTCATTTTCATAGTAGATCAAAGCATTTTCTACTAATCCTTCTTTCTCAAAGAATTTCTATGACTTCCTAAGAATGCTTCTAGAAGTCTGAGACACCGAAATTGGAATTGTCTTCAGCATTGAGCACAGTAGAGTTCACAAACTAAACTGTGAAACTAGCACCCAAGTTAAATATTTTTACCAAAGACTTAGCATCTTTACACTGTTATCTTCCAGTCATTGCCTCAGGCTAGCTGTCCTGTCTCCTCCCTGTGGGCAGCTACTCTGGGACTCACTGTCCTAATCATTTCTGCCAGGCACACTTTTATGCTTCTTGTAATATGGGCTCATTGATCCTAACAGTAATCCTATGAAAAACTACTGTTATTTCCCCCATATTAAAGAAGAGGATCAAGACGGCATGCATGCCTGTATGCATTCTACGTTGGTTCAGTCATGTCCTACTCTTGTGACCCGTGGACTGTAGCCCACGAGGCTCCTCTGTCCATGGGATTTGCAAGAAAGAATACTGGAGTGGGTTGCCATGTCCTTCTCCTTAGTGTTTGTGACATTTTTCAGGGTCACACTGCTGTTAAATAGCAGAGCTGCAATTCAAAGGTTTTGAAACTTCGAGAACTCCCCTTTCACTTGTGCTGTCTTCCAGTGACTTCCACTGAGAGAAACTTTGAAACTAGAAACCATCACAGACACAGCTCCTGTGTTGGAGGCGGTGAAGATATTGTGCAAGGGAGTGGATTGTTCAGTAAAGCAGGGCTGAGGAGAAGGTGGGAGGAAGAGTAACAGGGGTCAGGATCAGTCAGTCAACACCACATGTTGGCAACTTTTCTGGAGATGAGTCTTCCCCCAGATACTGACACCAACAGTTCTTTGCTGACTGGGTATAAATTAGTTTATTTGTGACTTCAGGACTAAACATTTTCCACAGTTTCAGAGACTCCCTTTTCTACCTTGTTTTCTTTTTTTTTTGAAGGGGTGGGATGGAGGGCTGCACTCTGTAGCTTGCAGAATCATAGTTCTCTGAGCAGATATCCATGGTACCTGAGCTTCTCATACTAGAAGCATGGAGTCCAAACCACTGGACTGCCAGGGGACTCCAGGAATTCCACCTTTTGACAATCAAGTCCTGAGAAGTAATAGAACCATTCTAAAGTATGAATGGACAGATGCTATTCCACAATAGGTTTATGGAGACAAAATAAGTAGAAGACATACAGTATTTATGAATTAAGTTTTCCTTCCCATATGGGTTCAATGCATGGTGCCCCAAAACAATTACAACATCAAAGATCACAGATCAACAAAACAAATGTAATAATGAAAGAGTTTCAAACATCCTGAGAATTACCGAACCATGACACAGACACACAAAGTGAGCAAATACTATTAAAAAATAGGGCAACAATAGATATTAGTAAAAAAAAAATGCAAAAGCTGTGAAGCATAATAAGGTAAAGCACAATAAAACAAAATATCCTAGGTATAAATATTTAACATGAGACCCAGGAAACCACAACTAAGGTCTTTACACAAGAGGATGAAAACATGGCCAAACAAAGACTTGGACTTAAATATTCATAGCACCTTCACTTATGATAACACCAAACCAAAAAGGACCACAATGTCTTATCAACAATTGAAAATACACACCATAAAACAAAATATTATTTGTCAGTGAAAAGAGTAAATACAGATACACACAACAATATCTATGAATCTCAAAAGAACTATGTAAAGTGAGAGAAGTCAAACAAATAAAAGTATAATTCCATTTATATGAAATTTCAAAAAGGCAAAAGTGCTAAAACAGAATCAGTGATTTACAAAAAACAAGTGAGAAGAGAGGACTGACTGAGAAAGGCCATTAGGAAAATGTTCACATGATAGAAAAAATCAGTGTTGTAATTTTGGGGCCTTAGCTGTAAACATTTTTCAAAATTTATTGAATTATACACAAAAAGTTGCTGAATTTTATTTTCTGTTAATGATACCTCAATATAGGTGATTTATTTAAAAAAGAAGAGACAGCAAATCAAATGCACTCTAGGTGGAGTCGCATGATAAAGTAGGCTCCCCAGTAGGACAAGGTGGCTATGGTTCTCCAGCATCACAGCTCTGTACAGGGTCCTCTGAGCAGGGTTCACATGCTGCCACTCCTCCAGGGTAAACGCCACACTCACGTCCTTGAATGACACTGATGTCTGTGAAGGCACACTTCTCATCAATCTGAAGAATTCAAATTTAGGTGACACGGAAAATACCTTTGGAACTAATTTCTATCAGCTTATGGTTAAAAATATAGGACAAAAACTGAAAACTTTTTCACATTATCAAAAATAAAAAATATCCAACAGTACACTCTTTATATGCAATGTCCTAGGGAAGCAGTCACGCTTTTGGTTCCACCTCCAAAATACACACAAATATTATTTTTCTTTTGAAAAAAGGGTTAAAAGAAACACATTTTATTCAAAGAGTTCTTTTCCCAAATTATATCCATGACTACTATGCAAGCTTGGGTGAGAGTTTTCACATCAGTATTTACGAAGTACCATTCTCAGACTCAAGTTTAACAGCTGGCCAAAGCATCCCAGGCTCTCTCCGTTTAAGCTAACGTGGAATCAAGTAAAATCATCTGGGGCTTCCCTGGTGTCTCAGTGGTAAAGATTCTGCCTGCTAATGCAGGATACTTGAGCTCAATCCCTGAGTCAGAAGATCCCATGGAGAAGGAAATGACAACCCACTCCAGCGTTCTTGCCTAGAGAATCCCAAGGACAGAGGAGCCTGGTAGGCTAAAGCTGATAGAGTCTCAAAGAGTCAGACATGACTCAGCAAATAAACAACAAAACCATCCAACCCATCATCAAATCTTGGAAGGACTGAAAGAGCCTGCTAACTCATCTGTTTCCACAACTGCTTCACTAGAGTCCATTCTGAGAGTTATATTTTAAATTTTAAGTCAGGCCATGCCCTTTCTTACCTCAAAATTCTCTAAAAAACTAGTAAACAGAGACAAATATTGAATTCATAAATTAGGAGATTCAATATGATGGAGCTATCATTTCTCCACAAAAAAGATTCACAGATTCAATGAAATCACAGGTTTTTGTTTTTTTTTTTTTTTAAGAATCACCAGCTAATTCTAATATTTATGGAGAAAGGCAAAAAAGCCTAGAATATGAAAAGCATTTTGAAAAAGAACAAAGTTGGAGGACTGATATTACTTGATTTCAAGACATACCATACAGCCACTAATCAAGACAATGTGTAATATTTAAAAAATGAAACACACAGATCAAAAGGAAAAGCTAAAAACAATATATACAAGCATACATGCACACACACACATTTCTTTAATTTAGGTGTCCAGGCAATTCCAAGAAGAAAGTATCTTCTGACAAAAATCATGCTATACTAAAAAACTCTATTAGAAAACAATAATAATATAACATTGATTCATACTTTCTACCACAAATAAATAATCTGAAATGATCACAGACCTCAATGAGTCTGATTTCTGCTTAGATTTTAGACTCAGAGTGTTAGCGAAATTAAAATGGAGGAAGTCCTGTTCCGGCTTCAGAAGCAGGACAGCAGGCCTCAGACCTGCTTTTGACCTGCCTGGACTCTGTGTCTGCCTGCAAGCACAGCAAGTCAGGCAGCACTTTATATAAGAAAGGGAGTGGGTCTTAGAATCTCTTAAGCCCCCCGGAGTCTAAGAAGTCTTACGATTCACAAGGTGAAATAAACAGCATTGTAAAAGCTAAACCAGAGCTGAGTTTTTATGTGCAAACTGATGATGATATCAAGTTTTGGTCTGGGATTATAAGCAGGAGCCCCCAAACTGCAGTTTGAAGTCTCAACCGTAGGGCGGCTGCACTGACCAGGACCCTTTCCCAAGTGGGACTGCAGATTGCTGTTAACAAGGGACATCCCAACACTGTTCAAGTCTGGATGTTGGTTCCCCCTCTTTGGTGATGTACACCCTGTTACTTTTCTTAAGTCAAACAGTCTTCTATTTAAAAAAAAAAAAAATACTAGGGAAGCAGTTTATTTCCCTAGTTTTACTTGTGAGTAAACTTGTTTACTTGTGAGTAACAAGTGGTTTATTTGAACAATCCTTCATTTTGAAATTGTTTATTTGTGAGTAACAAGTGGTTTTTTTTGTTAACAAATTCTTCGAACCTAAAACGAAAATAAAACCTTCAGCAAAACACAGAAGAACATATCATCTATTTGAAAAAGAAACTGACAGCTGGCATACAAAAACTGTTGTTGCTGTTCAGTTGCCAAGTTGTGTCCTACTCTTTGCGACCCCGTGGACTGCAGCACACCAGACGTCCCTGTCCCTCACCATCTCCCGGAGTTTGCCCAAGTACATGGAGGAAGCAGCAAAAGTGTTGAGTCTATTTAGTATTTAGAATATGCTACCAACACAGATGTCCAACCCATCCTCAGACCCTGAAATTACAGATTTCTGACAGGGCCAATGGCCAAAACATTTGGTTGTTTTCTGATAATATATGAAAACAAAAATTATAGCCCTAACAGACATAAGAGAATACGATCAATACGTTATAAAAAATATTTAAAAACAGACAAAAATGTACAATTTTCTGTGAAAATGTAGTAATTAAAAAAAAACAAAGATCTATGATTGTTTAAATAAAGTAACTCAATAATTTCGATGGTTTAGTTGCTCAGTCATGTCCGACTCTGACAATCCCATGGACTGTAACCCTCCAGGCTCCTCTGTCCGTGGGATTTCCCAGCAAGAATACTGGAGTGGGTTGCCATTTCCTTCTCCAAGGAATCTTCCCAACCCAGGGATCAAACCTGGATCTCCTGCATTGCAGGCAGATTCTTTACCAACTGGGACACCAGGGAAGATGTACTTACAAAGTTCAATTTTAGAGCTACGTTTAAGAAAATATGTGACAGGGAATTTTCTCCTATGAATTAAAGAGAGAAACGGGTGAGGGACAAGAGAAAGGGGAGGGGAGGGAAGAACAGAAAAGAGCAGACTGCTCCAATAAGACTAATAATAACTGAGATACCACAGGTGGAGACCTGGTTCAATTCCTGGGTTGGAAAGATCCCCTAGAGAAGGGGAAGGGATAGGCTATCTACTTCAGATGTGCACAGTTCCTGGCAGTCTGATTTTCTCTTCCTTACATCACAGCCTATAATGGGGGCAGGTAAATGAAACTATCATATCCTTCAGCCTTTGCAGTAAGGTAGAGAAGAAAACAAAATTATAGGTTAATCTAGTCTGTCAGTACAAGAATAAAAATTCAAACCTGCATGCTCAGTCACGTGCAAATCTTCTGCGACCCAATGGACTACAGCCTGCCAGGCTCCTCTCTGTCCATGGAATTTTCCAGACAAAAATATTAGAGTGGGCTGCCACTTCCTACTCCAGAGGACCTTATCCACCCAGGGATTGAACCCACATCTCCTTTTCTTATGCATTGGCAGGCGGATTCTTTATCACTGAGTCACCTGGGAATCCCCAAAATCCACTTACACTACCTCTTATAACTGCAGACTAAAGAAAACCAGCTATACCTTTACTTCAATAGATACAAAAAGGTATTCAATATAATTCAGGATATATTCACGATTCAAGCAAAACTTTAGCAAACTGATAATAAAAGGGAAACAACTTACATTCATAAAAGACGGATAACACAAACTGAGAGCAATCTGAAATCAAGTTAAACGCACACCACAAATTGGGGGATGAATAAAGAGCTCACCTCAGATATGTTCATTTTCAGTGGGTCTTGGGAGAGTGCAGAGGACAGTGATGATTCAGCTGCAGGGGCAGAAAGAAGACAGGGTCAAGACATCCGGTCTGCCATACAGTTCCTGCATTCACCTCCTAATCACGTCAGCAGGGTTAGCCTCCGTGCAGCATCCCCTTAGACCTGGAAAACGGAAGGACCTAGTGGAAGCACCACCTGTCCATTTTTCAGTTTAAAGTTATCACAAGGTTTAAACCTACCACTTCTGACTTAGTGAAAATTTTGTGTGTTGATTTAAATAGATTTAAATAGGACTTCCCTGGTTGCTCAGTGGTAAAGAATCCGCCTGCCAATCCAGGAGACATGGGTTCAGTCCCTGATGGGGGAAGAGTCCACATGTTTCAGAGCAACTAAGCCGCTGGGCCACAACTATTGAGCCTGTACTGTGGAGCCCCAAAGCCACGGTAACTGAAGCCAGTGCACCCTAGAGCCAGGGCTCTGCAACAAGAGAAGGAACCACAATGGGAAGCCTGGCACTGAAGCTAGAGTAGCCCCTGCTCTCCACAACTAGAGACAAGCCCCATCAGCACCTAGGACCCAGCACAGCCAAAAATAAGCATTAATAAATAAATAGATTCAATTTTTGTCTGTTGATTTCTATTTTGTCTACTGATTTAAACAATACAAACAGAAACCTAACAACAGCTGACTGAAGAACATCAAAGGATAATACTATTTCATAAAATTCACAGTAGAATACACAACTGTATCCTTTATGTTCTTCAGTTTTCCTAGCAAAATTGTTTACCCACTGAGGTAGAGAATTCACAGGAAGCCAAGTAAAAACGATGGCGGACTTTAACGCAATTAAAAAAAAATTACTGAAGTGGGCTGCAGTTTCTCAAAAGGGACTCTTGATAAGTGTCTTCTGATGACACAACAGTATGAACGACGGTTCAACTCCTGGCTCTGGCACAAGCTGGGTGAGCCTAGAGAAGTCAACAGTTCTCTCACATTCAGGACCACTTCACCAACCTGAGACTCAGTTTTGCTTCTTGTTTTCTGTGTTTAATGCAGAGGGTCACACCGCTATCACGAGATAACTGGGAGACTTAAATAAACCACCCAATGAAAAGAACACAGTGTCTTTTAAATACAACAGTTCCTACCACTTCTTCGGTGGTTAGGTACTAACCTAGCACTTTGCTAACTCCTTCTACTAATGACTCCACCTTGAATCCTCGGATCAAGCCCATGAAGCAGACATTATCCGTAGCCTTCTTTGCAGACGAGTTACCTGACTCTGCTCCACGTTAGTTCTCCCGCCCACAGTACATGTGGCACAGCGGGAACTGACCAGGTCTCTCGTTCCGGAGCAAGACTGCCCAGCACACCTTCCGCTCACCGTGACCGCCGCTGTCCACCCAGCGTTCTTCAGATCCAGGCCGGGTATTCGCACCCCACACGGACCAAGCCACTGCTCCTAACGGATCTCAGCTCCACCTGCGCTGGAGCCTGCCTGAGCCGAACTGGGAACACCGCACCCACCTTCCCAGTGCTAAGGTCCAAGCCAGAACGGGGCACTGCGGGGTCCCGCCTGGGCCTGAGGGTGGCCCGAGACTTGCCGCTTCCGCCTCTGCCACAATAAGGCCGCTCTCGGCAAAGCTCGAGGCCACTCGAGGTCCCGTTGTGATGCCTAGCTCTCGCACCTGCCGCTAACTGAGAAACTCCGGAAACTTCTCACCAGACCTGCAAATGCATACAGGAAGAAAGACCAAGGCTGCACATGCGCAGAGGGAGCCCGCGGAGACCAGGAGCGCTATGGAGTGGAGAAAGACTGCACTTCCCATCCTTCGCGCGCTCCCTGTGACTCTGAACGGAGCTATCAGGTTCCTGCTGCAGAGAAGGAATATGGGATAAACATGTGTCCCAGAGTTCTGGGTTCTCAGAGGCCCCAGATGGAGTGTGGGCCTAAGACACTGCTGGTCTTAGGCAGTCTCTATACCTGGCTCCTTATTGCCAAATTCAGACTTAAGCTGAAGAGAGTAGGGATAACCACTAGACCATTCAGGTGTGACCTAAATCAAATCCCTTATGAATATACAGTGGAAGTGAGAAATAGATTTAAGGGACTAGATCTGATAGACAGAGAGCCTGATGAACTATGGATGGAGGTTCATGACACTGTACAGGAGACAGGGATCAAGACCATCCCATTGGAAAAGAAATGCAAAAAGGCAAAATGGTTGTCTGAGGAGGCCTTACAAATAGCTGTGAAAAGAAGAGAAG